AAGTCTGTCAGTACTATGTTAGAAGGCTTAAGCTTGGCCTGGAAACCACTGCCAGAACAAATCTTTCTGAATGTGTGAATGGAGATGATTGAAAGTGCAGACCCAGTGTCTAGTTCCATGACCAATGGAACTCCTTGCAATTTCACCCTAAGTGACAGCTTCTTTTTAAGTGGTCTGTGCGTGCCTGTCTTAAAAATGCTTCTTCGTGAAGCACAGAAACCCACCCTGTTTTGGCTGGGGACCCTGGTACCTTTCAGGCGCAATTCTTCTCGGGGTTGTACCTTCTGTCGGCCCAGACACACAGCTGCTATGTGGCCTTGCTTCCCACATGCTCTATAGATTGCAGAACGGAACTTGCAGTTGGTTCTCTTGTGGCGACCTCCACACCCGAAGCACTTGGGTACAGGTGAAGACTTTTCTTTGCCTTCCCTCTGCTTTCCTTCTTTGGTTGGGTAGAGATGATCTATTTCTTCATCAGGCTCCTCTTCTGAGCTTCCTTGAACTCCCTTGTGATGCACGGAAACAGCTTCTGGAAAGCTTTTGATGGGCCTCATATTCTTGATTGCCCCACTTGCTGCCTCTTCTGCAGTAACCTCTCTCAAGGCATCTTGGAATGATATGTCCTCTTTGGCAAAAAGCCTTTGTTGTACATCTCTGTTTCTCAGTCCACATACAAATCTGTCTCTCAGTCTTTCCTCTAAGTCTTTAAATTCGCAATGCTTAGCTGCCCTTCTTAATGCAGCAATGTACTCTTTAGCTGAATCACCAGCCCGTTGACCCCGCTGTTCAAAATTATGTCTCCAAGCAATAACAGACAACTTGGGTTGAAAATGCTCTTTCAGTAATTTCTTAAGATCTGTGTAGGTAACAGATTCAAGAGGTGCAGGGGCTACTAAGTTTTCAGCAATTTCAAATGCATCTTGACCACAAACGCAGAGTAGGGTGGCGGCCTTTAAGCCCTCTTCTCTTACTTGATTAACTCTGAAATAATTTTCTGCTCGGGCCACGTAAGATTTCCATCTTTCGGGATGTGTAATATCAAACTCTGAAAGTTTTCCAATCTTTGCCATTTTAGTAAAGCAGGAAGGTTCTATCAGGCAGCTTACCTCCAACGAAGCTGTATTGGCAGGCAGTTGCTGAATTTAACGCCGTTTTCTCGCTGTGCTGGACTCCAGGGTAAGCTTACAATTGTTTGCGTAATTGCAAGGCAATCCCATCCTCGTTGCCAGTGTTGAGTCCTCGGCTAATGGCAATGACGACGCGAGACATTCTTGATGTTCAGTAACCTTCTTTATTTCTCTTCAGCAGCCCCGTTACAACTCAAGGCAGCACGGACTTCTCAGCCTCTCTTAAGGACGTTTTTCCCCGGGCCAAAAGGCAACATTTAGGCGCGCGAAGTGCCTCGCGCATGCGCGCGAGTGCTGGCGCCAACCAGTCTGGTCCCAGGCAACTTGCAGCTGCCCGGGACCATTGCAACGTCCCGAGCCTGCCCTTTTGCAGGCTCAGGACATAACATTATGCATCATTTCAGATTCAGATCCAGTTCTTTAAGATACCGAAGCTTTTCCCAGGTTCCTATAGCTGCTCACACAATATGAGTAAAAATACAGCCACTTTAGTGAGGTTCTGTCAGGACTGCAACTATTCCAGCCATGGTTCACTTTCTGTCAGTCTACAGCAACAGAGCAAGGGAACTGCAGGGTGGGGTAGGGAGAAGTATCAGGAAAGAAAACAAAATTACTCATTGTGCCATCCTGTGAGAATGGCCAGAATGGCCATTCCAAGGTCATACTATGGAATGCAGCACCATCCAGACTGCCAAGCCAGGGACTGTTACCAAAACAATTTGTTTAAATGTAATTGGACAGTAGAGATAAGCAAAGGGGAAGGGGGTGGAAGAAGGGAAAAGTTAACCACATGCTTTGGGGACGAAAACCTGAGATTCAGCTTTGCCTCACTGTAACCACTTTGGCTTTAGTAAAGTATACTTTCCTAAATAATGGATCCAAGACAGTGGTGGGATTCAGCTGGTTTGCACCACTTTGACAGAACCGGTAGCTAATTTTTTGTTGCCCAGGCCCAGAATGGACTTCTGGAAGCGGCATCCACACAGAGAACTGGTTGTTAACATATTTGAATCCAACCACTGATCCAAAAGTCTTTCTTTTAAACTGACGTAGTTGGGATGGTTGACAGGTTCAGACAAATACTATGTTCATTTTTTATTGATTTTGAAATCCAAATTAGTATATTGTCCTAGTTTCCAAATAGTTTAAACATTCCTGTTTATCCCATTTTCCAGCATGTAGACAAACAGAATTAAACATCCCTACTTAGAATGATATGAAAACTCATGGTCTCAAGCAACATTTAGTTTTCTCTACAGATTAATGAATATTGATAGATGGTACTGTATACTCATCTTCATTCATAACATTTTTCAGATGTAGAAAAACTGTACTTCATTTGTTTTGTCTTTAACTATCTTATGTTTATTTAGTAAACTGCTTAATTATGTTGTTTAGTTTGGAAATCTAATCTTGGTGTTTTTAGAATCTTTCAGTGTAATTTGTTTTCAGTGAAACTACTTTATTAAAGTATTTGAAAAACAGTATGTATGAACTATAAACAAATAGCTACTACTCCTGCACTAATAAAATAGATTATTAGTACTTTTAGCTTTCTAAAATATTATTTTTTACATAAAGCAAAGGAAAAGATATATAAAAGATATAATAAAATGCATTTGATACACATTTGTCTGTTTTGTATTTGTGCAGAAGAAAAACATTAATCTCTAGTGAAGGTATCTCTACATAATTTGTAGCTCTTATTATTGCAGGTGAAGGTTCATTCTCTGAGCTTGTGGGTTGGTTTCTGAATGTTTCTTTACCAGGGTAGGTAACATCTTCGGCTGAGTTTAGAGGATGTTAATGTCAGTGTTCTTCTGTTTATGAGGGCTTCAGGTATGGATGTGTCAAGTGAGAGTTTTCTGATGGGTCAAGTATGAGTCATCAGTGAGGGGCTTGTGATGGGTCTTGTGATGGGGAGGCTACATTGGGAAGTAAACTGCTAGTGGGGGAGGGGAGCTTGCGTGGGTTGATTGAGGGTCAGTGCTGTCTGCTTGATTTGGATTCTAAGGAGTCTGTAGGCTGATTGTAGGTCAATGTGTCTGTTGATGGAATTGCTTGTGGAGTGCCAGGCTTCGATGAACTCACAAGTGTGGTGGGTGGTAGCATGGCTGATGATTTTTGTGTTGTTTTGCTCCAATCAAATTGTTTGGTGTTGGTGTGGGTAGTGATTAAGGATTTGGGATCATGTTGTTTGACTGTCAGCTAGTGTTTGTGGATCCTGGTTTTTAATTGATGTGATGTTTCTCCCCCTTAGAATTGATTGCAATGGTTACAGTTGATTTTGTAGATTACATTGTTTCTTTCATCCTTCTGTATCTTGTCTTTGGTTCTGAATAATTCCTGGCAGAGTGTGGCTATAGGTATTGCTATTCCTAGGGTTTGGAAAATTCTGATTGTCATTTCCAACAATCGTTTTTTGTATGGTAGGGTTCTTTTTTGCGTGTGGTTGGCTGTGTGATGTGGTCTGGTTTGGGTGCTGTGTGTCAGAATACAAAGTTTTCAATGACTCAAATCCATAGCTCTACCCACCATCCAACCAAAATTCTGGACGTGCTACGTCGATGACACTTTCGTCATCATTAAATGTTCCCAAATTGAAGAAACACACCAGCTACTTAATAACATATTCCCTGGGATCAAATCTGCATGCAAAGGGGAAACAGACAACAGATTCCCATTCCTTGACATCAACATAAAGAGAATAGAGAATGGAGAACTGGTATCCCATGTCTACCACAAACCAGATCTTCAGCTTTGCAAGCAACCATCCCACCACACACAAAAGAAGCTGTATCCAGACCCTTTTCAGAAGGGCCAGTTTACACTACAACACCATCACACTAAAAAAAGCAGAATAGAAATGTCTGCTTGACATCTTCCTCCATAATGACTATCCCAAAAACTTCGTATTCTGACACACAGCACCCAAACCACAACACACCACGCAGCTGACCACATGCAAAAACTAATCCTACCATACAAAAGGGTTGTCAGAAATGACAGCCAGAATTTTCCAACCCCTAGGAATAGCAATACCTATAGCCACACTCTGCTAGGAATTAACCAGAACCAAAGACAAGATACAGAAGGATGAAAGAAACAATGTAATCTACAAAATCAACTGTAATCATTGCAACCAATTCTACGGGGGACAAACATCACATCAATTAAAAACTAGGATCCATGAACATTAGCTGACAGTCAATCACCATGATCCCAAATCCTTAATCTCTACCCACAGTGACACCAAACAGCACCAGTTCAATTGGAGCAACACTAGAATCATTGGCCAATCTACCACCCACTGCACTCATGAGTTCATCAAATTCTGGCAGTCCACAAGCAATTCCATCAACAGATACGTTGACCTACAACCAGCCTACAAACCCCTCACAAACCAAATCAACCACACAGCCAACCAGAGACAACAATGACCTTCAACCAACCCACACAAGCCCCACTCTTCCTCCCCACCAGCAGTTCACCTCCCAATGATGTTGACCTGATGTAATCTCCCCATCATAAGACCCATCACAAGCCCCTCAGTGATGACTCATACCTGACCCATCACAAAATCCTCACTTGACACACCCATACCTGAAGCCCTTATAAACAGAATAACACTGACATCCCCTAAACTCTGCTGAAGATGTTATCTAGCCTGGTAAAAAAACATTTGGAAACCAACCCACAAGCTCAGAGAACAAACCTTCACCCTCATCCTACACCCAAGCTACAGATATTTGCCACTATTGCAAAGCTCTTATTATTATTGGCTCTTATTATTTATTTCAAAATATTTATTTAAATGTTTTATTTCATATTCCTTATTTCTGTAATAATTCATTTTGTTCTATTTTATTTTAGAATCACAACTACTGCAGCTTGCATGATGGACTTGAGAAGATACCCATTAGATGAACAAAATTGTACACTGGAAATAGAAAGCTGTACGTACTGTATTTCTATTAATTTCAGGTATATGAAATATATTGTGCAAAATAGTTTTTTTTAGTTTGTTACTAATATTTATTTAATGTCTCATGCCCATAATATGCATTGCATTCTTAACAGTTCAAAATCATTCAAGCTCACTTCAGGTGGATTTCATATGATCACCTCCTGTTTTTTGTCTTCTACCGTGGTCTGCAGTTGCAACTTGCAGTTGTCAGCAGCACTGTTTCATAATTATTCTGAATTTTGTAAAGAAATTTAAAGTATCCATATGGAATGACATTGATCCACTAGTGCTCAACAAAAAAATAAAAATAAAAAACAAAAAAGGAAGTAATTGAAGCAATGTCTGAATCTATTGTGAAATATGTAATGCCTTCAGCAATGATTATAGTTAACAAATATTTTGGAAAAAAAAGTAGCTGGTACATCCAAAGAATTACATTTAAAAAAATATAGAAATTCAGATGACCAAAGGCTCAAAGGCAAAAAGGAATTATCTTCTATAAGAATTGATAGTGGGGAAGAGAAAGAAAATGATAGAAAGAAGCAACACCAACAGGGAAAAAAGGGGGAAAAAATAAATGCTAGTGAAGACTAACACTTTGATGAAGAATTATATTTTAATTTATTTTGATATCATTGTTTGACCAATATGGTTTCCAGAGCAATTTGTTAGTTAAACCATTTAAGAGAACAAATGAATCTTTTCAAAATAAAGATTGAACTTATGCTACAGGTTATTGAGAAGGACAAGAGCGCAAAGGAGGCAGTCAACACTGAACAATGTCATGGTTTTATAAATCTTTACCAAACACCAACAAAGTGTTGAGAAGTAGTTTTATTTTTGCTGCATAGTTATTTGCAAATAGTAAGAGAAACAATGAAACATCCATATTTATAAATGGCTGTGAAACGTGATGGAAATTAAATCCCAAAGTCTCTGAATATGAGATATCAGAACCATATCTCTTCTGATTCTTGTTCTGAAGCAATGAATCAAATAATGCCACTGTTCATTATCACCAAATCATTTTCCATCATTTTTGCAAAGAAGAAAATCTTTACAAGTTTTAACCAAATATAATAGAAAGGTATGATAATTATTGAAGATATTTTAATGGAAATTTTCTGCCTGCACAGACATTTGAAAGTAGCCACAGCTGATCCCAAAGAAACAAAGATATGGGCAACATCTTTGATACTGATTTTTTTGTGAAATGGAATTTTAATGGATCTCTGCACTTATCCTTATGTTTAGGCCTTTTCCTAAGTATTGTACATCTGTTGCCTCATGTGAAGGAATGTTTTAAATTTAAAAGTTAAAATTAATGGAAAGTGTTTTTTGATAAGTGAAGACAGATTGATAAACCTGTATATCATGCCTATTGAATATGCAATGATCATTTTTGATGAAGTCACAGACTAATTTGCAGTAGTTAAAAGCTTGAAAAGAAAAAAAACCATATTATTATTATTCCTTACTGCTAATGAATTACTAATAAGATTTTACTATTTCTCTCCAAAATGCATTAATGTAATTAAAAAGCATTGATCCATTCTTTTCTGATTATTTTTTATTATCCATTTCATTACATGGTTTTTACTGTAAATGATTTTGCCATATAGATGGCATGTAGGTTAAAAAATTATCAATCCTGGATGTCATATACACTGAATTTTCCTTGGTTAAGTGCAAGTAAAGGTAAATAGGTTATAGGATTTTGGAAAGTAGATAACTGTATTATAGGTTTGATTGTTAATGTGTATGACAAGGCAGCAATGCTGAGACTAGTTTGATCCTTTTTCAGATTCCTTAATAGCTAGACTAATGACTCGCTTAAAATATAGAATTGGAGGACAATCTGGTTTCCATTTCAATGTTTTGGAAACATAGTTTATCTTTCCCAGACTTAGAGAATTCCATTACATTACTTTTGAGACATCCAGCCTTCTATACTACAGGCTCAACCATTCTACTAAAGCAGTGGTGGCGAACCTATGGCACGCATGTCAGAGGTGGCACTCAGAGCCTTCTCTGTGGGCACATGTGCCATTGCCCCAGCCACGCCTCCCTGCACGACCCCCTCCTCACCAGAAGACCCCCTGGAGGAGAGTCACCCCTGAGCGTGGTCCATACGGAGCAGCGCAGCCAAGGACATGGAAGCCAGGCAGTGTAGACAAGACTCTGCCCTCATGCCCCATCCCATACAGTTGATGCTGTGGGGCATGGGCAGAGGGCGTAACTGCCATGGTGCTGCTGGGCTGCCTGGGCAATCTGCGGTGGGCCCTGCAGGCAGGTGGGATGCAGGGTGGGGTGGGGGTGCGGCAGGAGTGGGGCACGGGGTGGGGCCAGTTTTGGGGCACTCGGTCTCTAAAAGTTTCGCCATCATTGTACTAAAATGTATAAAAATGTAGCAAAGACTATTGAAATTGCATTCTAAGAAGAATTGTCTTCAAGGAGAAAGTCTATCTGTGTCTACAGTAGAACTGATATGTAAGTCTCCAAGTATTTTATTGTAAAAATAGTCACCTGCATTACCTGACAAATGACCCAAATCAAACATCTTCTCCAGCACTATAGTACAAAGGCCTCAATTCTTTTGTGCTCAACCTTTCTTCAGTGGTCCAACTTTCACAGCCATACATTGCAACTGGGAAAATCATGGCCTTTACTATATGTACTTTTGTTGGCAGGGTGATCTCTCTTTTTTTTAGTATGCTGTCTAGATTTACCATAGCTTTCCTCCCCAGAAGCAAGCGTCTTTTAATTTCTTGGCTACAGTGATCTTGGAGCCCAGGAAGATAAAATCTGTCACTACCTCCATTTCTTCCCCATCTATTTGTCAGGAATTGAGAGGGCCAGATGCCATGTTCTTGGTTTTCTTAATGTTGAGTTTCAAGCCAACTTTTGTGCTCTCCTTCTTCACCCGCATCAAGAGGCTCTTTAGTTCCTCTTCACTTTCTGCCATTAGAGTGGTATCATCTGCATATCTTAGGTTGTTGATATTTCTCCCGGCAATCTTAATTCCAACTTTTGATTCATCTAGCCCTGCCTTTCTCATGATATGCTCTGCATATAAGTTAAATAGGCAGGACGACAGAATACAGCCTTGCCGGACTCCTTTCCCAATTTTGAACCAATCAGTGGTTCCGTATCCAGTTCTCACTGTTGCTTCTTGACCCACATATAGGTTTCTCAAGAGACAAATAAAATGGTCTGGTACTCCCATCTCTTTAAGAACTTACCACAATTTGTTGTGATCCACACAATCAAAGGCTTTAGCATAGTCAATGAAGCAGAAATAGATGTTTTTCTGGAACTCCCTAGCTTTCTCCATGATCCAGTGTATGTTGGCAATTTGATTTCTAGTTCCTCTGCCTCTTCAAAATCCTGCCTGTACTTCTGGAAGTTCTCGATCCACATACTGCTGGAGTCTAGCTTGTAGGATTTTAAGCATAATTTTATTTGCATGTGAATGAGTGCAGTGGTGTGATAGTTTGAACATTCTTTGGTATTGCCTTTCTTTGGAATTGGAATGTAAACTGACCTTTTCCAATCCTGTGGCCACTGTTGAGTTTTCCAAATTTGCTGACAAATTGAGTGTAGCACTTTTACTGCATTGTCTTTTAAGATTTTGAATAGCTCAGCTGAAATACTGTCACCTCCACTAGCTTTGTTGTTGCTAATGATCATATAGCATATATTTATTAGTTCCATGTGAAACAGCATGAATTGTTGTCATAAAGCAAGGAGAAAAATTAGTCTGTTCTTCAAATTGTATCTCAATCTATAACATGGTTTAGAATGGATATACACACATATTATTAATAATAATTTTGAGGAATATATGCTTCACTCACCAAAAGTTTAGGAGTTAAAAAATTTATTCTCTTCTTTACGGCAGAATGAAAGTTTTAAGAAAAGTGAGACTATCATATATTTTGAGAACAAGATACTAAAACATTTTTGCTTTGTTTCCAGATGGATACACAACAGATGACATAGAATTTTATTGGAGAGGTGGAGACAATGCAGTTTCTGGAGTAGAAAGAATTGAGCTTCCTCAGTTTTCTATTGTGGAATATAAACTTGTGTCCAAAAATGTTGTCTTTGCCACAGGCATGTATTTCCTAATTGTTGAATTTCCATTATTCCTAGTTCTCTAATGCATGTCTATCTATTTTTTCTTTATATAAAAGGTAATTAAAATAGGGATAGTGCTAGTTCATTCTTTCTTTATAAATATTTGGTGTTACCAGGTCTGAAATTTTAAAACTGATTAGTTTGTTTGATGATTTTTAAGTAAAGAAAACAATATTTCTATCTTAAACTACATATAGGTAGTCCTTAACTTACAACAGTTCATTTATTGATTGTTCAAAGTTACAACGGCACTGAAAAAAGTGACTTATGTCCATTTTTCACAGTTACGTTTGCAGCATTCCCATGATCAAAATTTAGATGCTTGGCAACATTTTCATATTTATGACTTTTGCTGTATCCCAAGGTCATGTGATCACCTTTGGTGACCTTCTGACAAGCAAAATCAATGGGGATGCCAGATTCACTTAACAACTGGGTTACTAACTTATCAACTGCAGTGATTCACTTAACAACTGAGACAAGAAGGGTCATAAAATGGGGCAAAAGACTTAAAATGTCTCGCTTAACAACAGAAATTTTGGCACAGTTATGGTCATAAGTCGATTACTATCTGAATAATGAGACTTAGAAAACTGGCTGGGTCAAGTTTTCCAATCTAATAAAATATTTTTAATAGTAAATAAATAAATAAACACATGAATAGAAATATGTGTTCTAACTAAGTAATAGATTATACAAGGCAGTCAATTGGCAGTATGGGTGATAAAATTGAGGATTATAATTTATGTTGAAAAGAGAGCAGAAACTCAGGAACAGCTTTCCAGTACAAGTTATTTGTCCTGAGTCAAGCTATCATTCAAATTATTCATAATTAAAACAGTTTGAGAAATGCAACTATAGTATTTATTATGCTAATTGAAAATATTAATATTTTATTATACTATATTATACTAATATCAATAATAATAGTACTAATAATAGTTAATGACACATAATCAATCAAATATAATTTACTGAGTTAAAATATTTAATACTAATATTTGTGTTTTGACAATAGCTACATTAAATTTTTTTCTGCACAAAATTTCAAATTATGGGCTACCCTATGCTTGTTTTGGGTAGTAATAGGTTCCACTAATAAACACTAATTTTGCAGTATGTTTAGTATATTTTATTCTTTATACTTTAAATATCAGGCAAGTAATTTAAATGAATGATTTTTAGATAGAAGGTAAAAGTATTCCAGCTTATTATTATCATTAAGATTTATTTTAAAGAAAGTATAACATAACTTAATGGCTATCTGTTTTTTATTAGGTGCCTATCCAAGACTATCATTGAGTTTTAAGTTGAAGAGGAATATTGGATACTTTATTCTTCAGACCTATATGCCCTCAATATTGATTACCATTTTATCATGGGTATCATTCTGGATAAATTATGATGCATCAGCAGCAAGAGTGGCTCTTGGTATGAAATGGGAATGAGTAGGACATTACTTCATTTGCACTATCAAATATCAATTTCTAGAATTTGCAACTTATTAATAGGTCAAGATCATTTATATAAATATTGTATTAATCTGGATTGATTCAGTAACGATTCATCTGAAATATATAACAATTTTTATAAAATCTGTTATTTGAGCTCTCCAAATAGAGCTCAGTTTCCTTATTACTCTAGGAATGGTATGGAAGAACTGACTTTAGAGGAAGGTTGTGGTACCCTAAATTTAAATTTAAGGACAAATTAAATTTGAAGGAATAATGCAAAGATAGTGGTATAAAAAGGTTTATGTCTTCTTTTTCTTCCAATTCTAATAAGTCTTTCCCTTAGAGGCCTCTGATTTACTTGATGACACAATTGATGAAAGTCTGGGTAAGACCAAGTCCTTAAAGCCAGCATTGTGTGAGAAAGCTCCTCTCCATTTCTGTAAATGCTGGTCAAGGTGCCTCTAGGCATGGTAGCTTCTGGATTTACTATACCATAGCTTCAACTTACCCTGAAGGATACTCAGCATACATCAAGGGTATACAAGTTGGACAGCTTTTACACATACAGAAGTATTGCTCAGAGCATCTGCCAGAGACACTAGTTTAAAAAACTTTTAGTATTCACTTTCTCAATTTGTGAGATTACAAGCAGTAGTCCAAACTTCTCACTATTTTTAATAGTAATAATGCATGTACCTGGATCACATTCGAATACTACTTTTTTATTATATATTTCAGGAAAAAATGTTACAGCTATGAAGTCTTTCTGTGAGAGTTGTACTAGTACTCGAAACATTTCAGTTATTTTTCCAGGGAATCATGATTTCCATAGGTTTTGTTAACTAGGTTTTGTTAATTTCAAATCTCTCTCTCTCTCTCTCTCTCTCTCTCTCTCTCTCTCTCTCTCTCTCTCTCTCTCTCTCTCTCTCTCTCTCCCTCCCTCCCTCCCTCCCTCCCTCTCTCTCTCTCTCCCCTCTTTTTCTCTCTTTCTGTCTCTTATTTTAAAAAAAAAATTGCCCTGCAAGTGTTGGTGAGGGCTTTGTATCCTGTTAATCCCTGCTTATCTGGGTGTTGGCTGCTGGAAGGGAATGTGTCCTGGACTTTTTGATTACTTCTTTCCTTTTTGTTACCTCTTTTGGTCTGTAAATATGGTTTATTTCTAACTGTCTATTAATGGCTGATTAGTCTGAACATCAAGCTTAAAATAATTCTCTGGCATTTTTGGATTTGGATTGGTCTAGGATACTCACAATTTCCCAATTGAAATTTTGATTGATTCTGTCCATGTGTGGTACAATTAAAAAGTTTTCATCATGTCTTCTGACTGCTAGTTAATCTTTATTGGTGGGCTCTGCTAATCTTCTGTTCTACATAGTGGCTGATATGTAGATAACATCTTCAACATAATGAAAAAGGAACAATTAGAGAAGACTCACTAAACAATCAACTTCTTCAAAAGAACAAAATTAATAAGGAAAGAAGAAAACGACAACACACCACCCTTCTTGGATATCAGCAAAGGAGACAAGGTCAAATTAGAAATACAAGTCTACTGAAAAACCACCCACAGCAATCAAATGCTCCACTAAAAGTAGCTGTGTAAAAAACATTATTCAGATAAACACAAATGTATTGCAGTAACCCAGAACACCAGAAATAGGAAGCAGACCACCTGTCAAATATCTTCCAACAAAGCAATATCCATTCAATTTTATCAAAAAGTACCTGATCATTGAACCCTACAGCACAACCAACACAAGCTATGAGAAAAATAAGACTTTAAAAACAGTAATACATTAAAAACATATCAGAAACAAGGCTACTACAACCACATAGCAGTACTGTAGCACACAAACCAACTAAACATCTTAAAAACATCTTAAGTGAACAAAAAGATCCAGTATCTCAAGAAGAAAAGTAATCTACAACATACAGTGTAAGGACTATAATAGTCACTATTTGTTTGTTTGTTTGTAAAATTTATTGGCCACCCATCTTGCCTCAGAGTAACTCTGGGCAGCTTACAATCATAAAAGGTAAAAACTGTATAAGCTAAAAGATATGTAGGATTAGACAGGCAGAAGGCTTGCAGAGCACGTCCATGAACATCAACTGGCAATCAGAATACAGATGAAAGTTCTTAATCTCACAACACATGGACAGACTCAACCACAGGGCATCAATACTGCCAGACATCCCACACTTACAATACTGATGATGTTACCTAGTTGGGTAATGAAGCATCTGCATGCAAACAGTCAGGCTCAGAGAGCACCAAGGACTCCACAGTTCAATTCTGAGCTACATATATTTTCTTCTATTAGAATGTTGTCTCTCTTGCAATTCTACTTAGTTTTTTTCACCACTAGAAAACTCCTGGAAATTACTACAGAAATAAGTTAGGAAAATGATGCAAAAAAGATATTGATTCTTGTTTTTCTTTTTTTTAGGTATTACAACTGTGCTTACTATGACAACTATCAATACTCATCTCAGAGAGACTTTGCCTAAGATTCCATATGTCAAAGCCATTGACATGTATCTTATGGGCTGCTTTGTATTTGTCTTCTTGGCCTTACTTGAATATGCCTTTGTCAACTATATCTTCTTTGGAAAGGGCCCTCAAAGGCAGAAGAAACTCGCTGAAAAGACAGCTAAAGCAAACAATGATCGCTCTAAGTTTGAAAGCAACCGGGTAGGATTTTTTGTATCTTTTACAAGTCTGTCTTAGGCTCAGCTTCAAGGGATAGTTCCAATCAATGAAATTAAGTACTATTACCTTGCTAGTTGGAGTGTATATTAGATTATACAGATAGCATAGCCATCAGCAATCACTTTATATTACAGTTTATCAATATAAAATATATAGTATATACCAAAGTACAATAAGCACAAAAAATCCTAAAAAGGTGGCAAACTTGAAAATCATAATAATGAAAAATAGTCATAGGAATTTATCCTTTCATCATTGGTCTTAATGTAGTTTTCCTTCCTTCCTTCCTTCCTTCCTTTCTTCCTTCCTTCCTTCCTTCCTTCCTTCCTTCCTTCCTTCCTTCCTATCTTCCTTCCTTCCAATTTAAGCAATTGGGTTGATCACAGAATAAAAAGAAACAATAATGATAATAATATTGTTTTTTTAAAAAATGAACAAGATGGTGAATCTTGAGAATTTTTCCCTTACGTTCTATGTTTCCTGAAGTTATAAAACTTCTTTTAACAAAAAGAAAAAAAATATGTCAGAGAGACTAGTCCTGCTTGTCTTACATTACTTAGTACAGCAGAATAATGAACAGTAGAATTCCTTGACATTTTGTTTTTGCAATTGAATTTATAAGTATTACTATAATAACATTTGATAGGACAGGACAGCTCTAAAAGTGGGAAATTTTAATATGCATTTTCATAGTTGACATTAATGCATACTAAACCTTAAATATATTGTTAAAAATAATATTTCTCCAAGTAAAACATATATTTGAATATATTCTAAAATTATACTTATTGCATTATTTGCATTATTTTAAGAAAAAATATTTACAATGTATATATTAAGAAAAAATACACAAAAATGTATATAAGGAGATCTGCAAATGATTTTTCTTGAACTTAAAAGGTGCAATTTAATGCAGACAAAAATGAGCTTGTTTTTTAAAAATGAGAACAAAATTCTTAAGATTCTTAAGAAATTAAAAGTTATATATAATATTAGTTTTAATTTATTCAGTAATGCTAACTATGTACCAACATTCATTTATTTATTAAATTGGTAAAAGAAAATGTAAAGAATTTGAATATAAGAAAATGGGAAATTGGGAGACACATCCAAAACATATGCAGTAAAAAGAACCATATATTTTGTATGCGAGTGAGCTTTACAATTTCCAGAACTACAAATTCTCTAATTTAAGATTGGAAATGCACTTGTGCATAAGCACACATAAGATCGCTTATTTGCACATCATTTGTATACCACTAAAATTCTCATGTCTGTAACCTTTAATTAGGTAAACTTAATCAAATGGGTTAACTTACAGAATGCAGAAATGACATTTGGAAAAGTTGTGGCCACTTGAGCATCACCATGCCTTCTGACTACACTTCCCAGGAGGTCTTAATGAGGATTCTTGGTATGGTTTCAATAGGCTGCAGTGAAACACAGGGTGATTTTTCCTAAAAGGGGAAGAAGCTTTAACTCTACTGTGACTGGGTTTATAATTCGGACTATAGGGAAAGGTCCAAGGAACTTTGGTCCCAATTTTTTGCTAGGTAGTTTAGGTCTTAGATATTTTGTAGAGAGGTAAACATTTCTCCCCACATGAAATGACCTCTGGGGTACCCTACTCTTGTCTGCCTGCTCTTTGTAAACCTTTAAGGCTTTGGTTAGAGCCACTTTCGCATTGTCCCACATGGTTTTCCAAGAAGTCATCCATTGATTTAAAGTCTGAGAAATTGGAGGGTCCTGAGGGAGTTCAAGCATGGAAATAAACTCCCTACCAGTGGCTATTTTAAAAGGAGTGAGTTCAGTGCTGCTATGTATGGTGTTATGGTAATCCACCTCAGCAAAGGGGAAGAGGTCAGCCCAAGAAGTATGTTGATAATTCACGTAGCACCTAATATATTGCTCCACCTTAGGGTTAGCTTTTTCAGCAGGTCCATTAGTAGATTGATGAAAAGCTGATGACAGTCCCTGTATGGACCCAATAAGTTTCAGAAAGTCTCTCCAGAACTTGGCAGTGAATTGTACCCCTCTATCTGAAATAATCCACTTTGGAGCACCATGGAGTCGGTAGATATTTTTGAGAAATATTCTAGCCAACTTCTTAGCAGAGGGAAGACTGGTGCAGGCAATGAAATGAACTTGTTTAAAAAAAAAGGTCAATCAACTCCTCCTTCAGCTTCTTTGTAATCAGATTATCAGGTTCAGCTGATTTTGCGTGTGAGGGGATCCCAGTTTTTACTTGAGAAACCACCTCTGGCTGAAGAATAGATGAGTTCACAATCTCCTCTCAATGGCTCTTGTTTTGGGGCAGTCTGGATAGGGCGTCTGCTAGGAATTTTTTTTCCTCCTGCAATGTATTTTAATGTAAAGTTGAAACAGTTAAAATACTGCAACCATTGGACCTGCTTAGAGGATAATTTGTGAGGGAGTTTTAGTGCCTCTAGGTTTTTGTGATAAATCCATATCTCAAAAGGCACGTCACTCTCTTCAAGAAAATAACAGCAAGTAAGTAGAGCTCACCTTACAGTGAAAGCCTCTTTTTCCCAGACTGCCCACCCATGCTGAGTGTCTGTTAACTATTAGAGGTGTAACAGTGGCAATGAGGATGGGTTACACCGCTTCATTGAGAGAGCTTGAAGTCACTAGGGGGTGAGGTCAGCACAGAGCCTGACAGGAACTACGTTCCCCCCCCCTCGGTCTGCCAGCAAGCCATGCCCTAAGGATCCGTCCTAGGCCCTACACAAAAGCCAGCAGCGCAAGACATTGAACGAAGAAACAAACCACCATGGCAAAGGTCAGGAAGCTTGAAGAATTTGACGTAACTCACCCGGAGAGATGGGCATCCTACATCTCCCGCATCGAAAATTACCTCCGCGCCAACCAGGTCACCAAAGATGGATTGAAGGCCGCAACACTCCTCTGCATGTGCAGAGAACCAGGACCCCAGTGCTGCTGAAATTGGTCACCTACGCAGATTTGAAAATAAAGCTCTGAGACCACTTCGAGCCCAAGTTATCCATTATAGCGTGGAGGCACACTTTTGAGCAGCGGGAGCAACAAGCTGCTCTTCGTCAAGCATCCCGACTCTGCAGTTTTGTGGATTTGGAGAAGAGATTATGCAACTGCTTAGTCTGGGGACTCCGGAATCGAGAGCTCCAACAAAAACTGTTTGCTAAGGAGACTCTCTCACTATAGGAGATCTTGAAGGAGGTCATGGTGAACAAAGCCGCCAGAGGGGCTGTTAAAGCAGTGTGGCCCTCCAAAAGTGCGCCAATCACCGAAGCCATCCAGCATGAGGATGCCGAGCAGATGGAAGACACTGACTCAGACTACGAAGTTGACCAGCTATGAAAGCACCTGGAGAAGGGAACGCAGCCAGCTGGGAAAGCAGTTCCATTCCTTATATGCATGGGCTGCGGAGGCCACCATCAATGCACGGATTGCCGATTCTGAACTGCAATGTGCCAGGCCTGTGGCAAACCAGGCCACATCGCCGCCATCTGCTGAGGTCATCAGAGGGACTGCCTGAAAGAAGACACATTCAGGAGAGTATCGGGGCCCCGGGTCAACACTGAGTAGGGTTCTGCTCCAGCCGAAGGAGCATATTCCGCACTGGTGCCCATCACTCCCTAAAGCAGAAGTTTAGACTACAAGTCAAGCTTCAGGGAGTTCCATGCAAGATGGAAGTGGACATGGGATTAGCCATATCCATCATTTCACAAGGAACATTCAGGCACCTATGCCATCGTAGCAACAGATGGGCCAAGATCTGGCAGTCTAATCTACTACTCACAGATTTCCAAAACTCCTGAGTGGCGGTCAAAGGCGAAGCCACATTTCTGGTGGAATTCAAGGGGTTCAAGGGACCACTAGATGTCATAGTGGTGGAAGGCCAATGCATGAGCCTCATAGGGCTTGATTGGTTTGATGCATTGGGCATTCAAGTAACCAGCATTCACCGAACACAAGTGGCAGATCTGTCTGCAGTCTGCCAAGAGTTTGCGGATGTTTTCAGTTCTAGTCTAGGGGAGTACAAGGGTCCTCCGATCGCCCTCAAGCTTGATCCTAGGATAACTCCAATATGGATCAAGCGTCATAGAGTGCCTTTCCTGTTAAAACCCAAAATCGATGCAGAGCTGGATAAGCTAGTGGAACAAGGGGTATTGCAGCCTGTAGACAGTGGGGTATGGGAGACCCCCATAGTAATGCCATTAAAGGCCAATGGGGAAGTGTGAATATGCACTGACTATAAGTGCACCCTCAACAGGGCACTTCAACAGCACGTGTACCCTGTGCCAGTTGTCAGCCACATTTTGGCATCATTGCAAGGAAGCGGTGTGTTCACCAAATTAGATTTGGCCCAGACCTATCAACAACTGCCCATGGACAAGGCCACAGCGGTAGCCCAGACCATTATCACCCATAGGGGGGCTTTTAAGGTTAAGCGCTTACAGTTCGGGGTGAGTGTAGCCTCAGGGCTATTCCAGGGAGTGATGGAGCTCATGCTCAAGTGAATTCCAGGATTTGCCCCTACTTCGATGATGTCCTCATTGCTGGGGAATCAGTTGAGATTCTGGCTGAACGGCATAAGGCCGTCCTTCAGTGGTTCCGCGGGACTTAAACTAAAAAAAGAAAAGTGCAAGATTGGGGTAGAGTCAACCGAGTTCCTTGGTTTTCGCATTGATGCTGAAGGCATTCATCCAGCAGAATCCAAATTAAAAGCAATCCAGCAGGCCCCAAGGCCAAAGTCAAAGGGAGAGCTTCAGGCTTTCCTAGGCCTTTTGGATTTTTATCATGCCTTCCTCCCAAACAAGGCCACAGTGGCAGAATAGTTACACTGGCTCTTGGATAGACAAGCTCAGTGGCAGTGGACCAGTGTCTATGAGAGTAGCTCCCAAGCAGCCAAATCACTGCTGTCATCGCATTGAGTTCTCACACATTTCAATGAGCAGCTGCCTGTCTGCATTGCGTGTGATGCATCCCCGTATGGGGTTGGGGCTATGATAAGCCACTTAATGGCTGATGAGAGGCAGAAGCCCATCATGTATTACTCCAGAACCCTATTGTCCACAGAGCAAACTACATGCAAATTGACAAGGAGGCTCTGGCCATTGTGGCCAGAGTTAAAAAGTTCCATGACTACTTGTATGGCTGCCAGTTCACGGTCTTCACGGACCACAAGCCACTCCTAGGGTTGTTCACCACAAACAAACAGACACATCAGATTCTGTCCCCTCGAATGCTGAGTGGTCTATCTTCCTGTCAGCCTACAGCTACAGGATGATTCACAAACTGGGCAAGGAAATGGGCCATGCAGACAGCCTGAGCAGGTCTGGCTGCATGTATCCTGGCTATCCAGGATTTGCCAGAATCCCCCCTTCATGCTGGGGACATAGCTGCTGAGACAGCAGCTGACAAAACACTGAGTCATGTGTACTAAACTGGGTACACACAGGATATCTGGATAAATGTCCAGGGCCCAAATTTCAGAGTTTCTTCATGAGAAAAGATGAGATTTCAGCTCATAACAGTGTGCATCCTTTGGGGAAGTAGGGTCATAGTCCTGAGCTCTTTAAGGCCCAGGGTCTTAGAGTCTCTGCACAAGGAATAGTCCGGTTGAAGGCACTTGCAAGGAGCTACCTTTGGTGGCCAGGGCTAGATAAAGCCATTGAGGCCCAAGTACATGGTTGCTACACGTGCCAGCATCCAAACCAGAGATGCCACAAGCCCCTGTCCACTGATGGGAGCACACACACACACACACACAGTGGTCAAGAATCCACATCGATTTTGCCGGGCCCTTTCAGGGACAATTATTTCTAATAGTGGTAGATAGCCATTCTAAATAGTTAGAGATCACACCAGTCCCTGCTATGACTACTGCCAGGACCATCCAAGAACTGCGCAGAATCTTTGCAACACACGGACTTCCAGATGTGTTAGTCTCTGACAATGGGGCTCAGTTTACCGCTTCTGAATTCCAGTTTTTCCTCAGAGCAAATCTAATACGGCACGCCTTTTCATCCGGCCTCAAATGGCCAAGCGGAACGCATAGTCCGCACAACCAAGGGTTCACTAAAATGGATTGTCACAGGGGATTGGCACCACAGACTGGCAGATTTTCTACTCTGCCAACACACAACTCCCTGTACCGCCACAGGCAGAAGCCCTGCCGAACTCAGATGGAGCCGTTTGATTACCAAGCTGGAGAGGCTGCACCCCGACCAGGTTGCCTTGAACTCTGCTCAGCCAAAGGCACCTCGGAATTTGCAAGTGGGTGACTGAGTTTGGACCCGGAATTATGGGCAAGGGGCTTTGTGGGTGGCAGCCATGGTTGTTAAGGTGTCAGGACCACTCTCTTTTCAGGTGATCCTGGAAGATGGGCAAGTCATTCACTGGCACATTGATCAGCTGCGTTGGAGGCTAGTTAACCAGTCACTTGATCAGGCCTTTCAAGAGGGCCACATGAAGGGCTGTGTGACAGCAGCCCAAAGAGGAGCTTGCACGCTCTAACAGAACTCTTACTCAAGGAGACAGGGAAAAGGCTGTAGGAGAGCTTCCCCCAGACAGACAGACAATATCCGCTGAACAGGACCGGCAAACTGCGCTGAGGGACAGCCCTGCAGAGTTTTCTGCATGATTGAACTTTGGTTTGGGCCACCCAGGACTGGCCAGCCAAAGGGACCCAAGTCAACCTAACTTCACTGGACCTCAGAGTCCTGGTCTACCCAGCCGGGCAGGTGAGTGGGTAGACCGGGAGACCCCTGCAACCCCTAGACATTCAGAACGGTCAAGAAGGCCACCTAAATATCTGCAGGACTATGTCCAGCAGTTGAGAGTTTGAACCATCTAGGGAGAAGGGGTGTAATGTATTGGCCACAACTGTTTTAAATCACTTGCTTAATGTCTGACTTACATTGTTGTATTGTTTAACAGTTGCTGTTACTGAAAGCCAGACTGGCTGTCTCCAAGCTGATAATGAGGTTTTGGGGCAGGAAACTGTTTACTTTAAACCAATTGGTTGTCATCTAGAGGCTAATGGTATAAATAGCTGTGCAGCAGCCTTTATGGCTGCTTCTGTTCTGAGTTAATAAACTTGTTGCAGTTTCAATACTCTACATCATTCAATGCCTAAAGAACTGAAGATATAACAAACTAATCTTAAATTGTACAAAAGATCTAGCAAAATAGTTTGTCTTGCTAGTTGTTCTCAAACTGGGCTTTTCCTTGCTTTTAGTGTGAAAGAGTTTTGCAAAGCTATACATTTTTCTTTTTATTTCTTGTGTGATACCTTTTTACCTATTCATATCCCTCTTGGTATACTCTAGTGGATATTTCTAGCTTCTGCCAACAACAATAACTATTGCAACACTGATCTGAGATAAATCAAATGTAAGATTTATTATCTTCACACATCTGGAATCTTAATTAATTCTATATTACTTCTATGTATGTCCCCCCATTCTAATTTTCTCAATATTATGTGCTGTTTGATGAGAAGGTGAAATGAAGTTTAAGTACAACAGTTGCTTTCCTAATTGGTTCTGTGTTAAAATGTTGAAACTCTGAAAAGTATTATGTGTTCATTAACCAGCACCAAGGAAATCAATCTACATTAGAATCATAAAGACAGTACAATTTGGATTTATTAATAAGGCTGAATAAGGTTTGGCCATTAATGGAATACAATTTACACTTACATGTTTTTCTCCTAAAAAGAACTGGAGGAACACATTTAATTTAATCACAGGAACGAGGTCAGTCTTACTGCAGATATTGGTGATAATATGGGAGAGAGACAATTTTTTTTTTAAAAAAAAACAACAGGTCTCTTTCGAAGATCTTAAGATACAGGTAGGTGCTTAAAGATTTTAAAATATGTAACTTCAGTGTCATGATATCTAAAAGTGAGAAAGAAACACTATATTTCATTATATTTTTCACCAGAAAAATACAAATTGAAAATATAATTCAATCTCAGTCTTCATAACCATATCATTTCACAAAAATGTTGTTAACATAAGAAACAACCCCATCCTCCAGATTTCATTCTCTATTTTCTCTATTTTCAGACTAATATAGCTGCACAAATAATAATTTCTGTGAAATATGGTAGTGAAAGCAGTTGTACTTCCATGAACTCAAGTAAACTCAAGTATTTCAGTTTGCTTTAAATAGTGCTACTAGAGATAAAAGGCATGAATTCATATCCCTTCCCTAGTATGCAAATGTAAATTGAAGCAACAAAGATAATAATGTAACAATGACTGAGATCTTCAGTAATTAGGTACCAATAGCAAGTTTAGTGGCATGAAGGAGAACAAAAAGAGGAAGATGGATGATTGCTGATATAAGATGGAAAAATACTGCATTTGTTTCGATTTGTTTTATTTTTATGCTCTTTTAAAATAATCCAGTTTATTTTTATGAATATTTATCTGGATCTAAATAATTTCTGAATATGATATATTACTTTTGATTTATTAAATTAATTATTAATTCACTATCAATTTGCTTCTAACTAGGTGGATATGCATGGGAACATATTGTTAACATCCCTTGAAATTCACAATGAAGTTGCAAGCAATGAAGTTACAACAAGTGTCACTGATCCACAGAATTCAGCAGTATCTTTTGATAACTCAGGAATCCAGTATAGAAAGCAAAGTTCCCACCGAGAAACTCTTGGGAGACGTACATTAGATAGAACTGGCACTCACACTAAGAAGAGTCATTTGCGGAGAAGATCTTCTCAGCTAAAAATAAAAATTCCTGATCTAACAGATGTGAATGCAATTGACAGATGGTCAAGGATGGTGTTTCCTTTCACATTTTCTCTTTTCAACTTAATCTACTGGCTATACTATGTCAACTAAATTGACTTTTACTTCATATTTTTTTTAACAAAAAGACTGTAACAAGCAAATATTATTTTGCCTGTTATTTTGTATATGTACAGAAGACATTTTACACTATATATATATATATATATATATATATATATATATATATATATATATATATATATATATATATGTAGGTCTTTGGTTGTTCGGGTTTTCTCCCACGTAAAATTGGAAGTGTCTTGGCGACGTTTCGACGAAGTCCCATTCGTCAAATATATATATTTGTTTTCTGAGGTTTTCGCAGGTGTTTGTATGTAGGTCTTTGGTTGTTCGGGTTTTCTCCCGCGTAAAATTGGAAGTGTCTTGGCGACGTTTCGACGAAGTCCCATTCGTCATCTTCAGGCTGGTGTTTTCAGCTTCATGCTTCAAGCAGCAATGTGTGGTCTTAGCTGTTTCTTCCTTTTAACTGCCAGTGGGGGTATGAACTGATTGGGTGGGAGCTTGGCTGTGTTCTGATTGGGTGGAGGTGTGTTCTGATTGGTTAGGGGCTTGGCTGTGCTCTGATTGGCTGGGGGGTGGCTGTGCTCTGATTGGCTGGGGGGTTGGCTGTGCTCTGATTGGCTGGGGGAGTGTTCTGTTTGGTTGTGCACAGGTTAGTCTGAGTTGCAGGGGGGTTTAAGATTTTGGGCTGCCTTGCTATTTTTTGGCTTCGTGTTCATGGTTGTGCCTCATCTTCATGGAGGGTGTCAGTTTGCTTCATGTATGGATTGGAGGGATTTAAAGTGGCTAATGATCATTTTTTGTGTTAGGGAGTCGTTTGTCAATAAGAGTGGGTTTCCAAATGGTTGGTAGGCGGGAGGTATCATCTCGCTTGTTCATGCTATGTGGGCGTTTTTCTATCTCGATGGCTTCTCTGATTATTCTGTTATTAAAATGTTCACTTTGGGCAATGGTTCTGGTATTTTAAAAGTCAATTTCATGTCCTGTGGCTTTAAGGTGTTGGACCAGGGAAGATGTTGATTTGGAAACCCACCCTAATTGACAAACAACTCCCTAACACAAAAAAATGATACCAGACCCACACTCACAAAAACCACAGAGGATGTCACCACCACACATCCACGCAAAAAGCAAACCCAAAGCCACACCGATGATGAGGCACGACCACAAACCAGAAGCCAGACCACAGGTGCATCATTAGCCACTTTAAACCCTTCCAATCCATACATGAAGCAAACTGACACCCTCCATGAAGATGAGGCACGACCACGAACACGAAGCCAAAAAATAGCAAGGCAGCCCAAAATCTTAAATCCCCCTGCAACTCAGACTAACCTGAGCACAACCAAACAGAACACTCCCCCAGCCAATCATAGCACAGCCACCCCCCCAGCCAATCAGAGCACAGCCAAGCCCCTAACCAATCAGAACACACCTCCACCCAATCAGAACACAGCCAAGCTCCCACCCAATCAGTTCATACCCCCACTGGCAGTTAAAAGGAAGGAACAGCTAAGACCACACATTGCTGCTCGAAGCACGAAGCTGAAAATACCAGCCTGAAGATGACGAATGGGACTTCGTCGAAACGTCGCCAAGACACTTCCAATTTTACGCGGGAGAAAACCCGAACAACCAAAGACCTATATATATATATATATATATATATATATATATATATATATATATATATATATATATATATATATATATATATATATATATATATATTAAAAATTACATTAAAAATTGAAGAATAGCGATTCCTGGGTACATACATTTCAGTAAAAAAGGAAAGCGATCACCAGGAAGTAAAACACCAAGGTTTTAATAAATAAAATCAAGCTTTCGATGGCTAACATCTGCCATCATCGTCAGGATACAAGCCAGTCAGTGAGGCTATGCTTATAAGCAGGTTTCCTCACTGACTGGCTTGTATCCTGACGATGATGGCAGATGTTAGCCATCGAAAGCTTGATTTTATTTATTAAAACCTTGGTGTTTTACTTCCTGGTGATCGCTTTCCTTTTTTACTGAAATATATATATATATATATATATATATATATATATATATCCTTTGTGTACATATATTGTGAAAGAATATGTATTATACTCATTGTGCATAAACATATATACACACACTATGTAATGGTGTACACAAATTGCCTTTTAAAATAAACTTTTCAAATGAGAGAGGTAGCTTTTTGAAGCAGTCTGCTTTGATAAATACAGTTCTGTAAGATTACCAAATCTTTATTTAAATCATCAAAATTCTGTCCTATTGTTTGCAAAAGCAGTTATATACCTTACTTTAATTACTCTTATTTACAGCAGACATGTCAAACTCGTGACATCACGTGCAGTCACATGACATTTCAGAGCTTTTTCTCCATTGCGGGCAATGGGGTGGGCGCGGTTTCCTGGTGATGCATCCGGCCCGCGGGCTGGTAATTTGACACCCCTGATTTACGGTGTCCATTATGTAAGGTAATTAAGCAAAAGGTTTTAATTTCATTTGTTTAATACTGACCAAATGAATTGTTTCATGTCAACTTGAAAGTCTCTGAGATACTTTTATTGTGTTAATATATTTTGTTCAAAGTGGAATATTTTAATTTTGCATTTTCTTGATCACTTTTACTTTTGCTAGGAACATTCTTACATATTGCTACAATATGTTATTTGAAATTGAACAACTGTTTACATTTTCAGGATTTTTTAAAATGTGGGTTTATTAAATAATTTCCTATTCAAAATAAGGGGTTATCATCTATGGAGATTCTGATTAAACTGCAGTAAGTCCTTTATAAGGCAGACTTCAATCAGTAAAGTCTTATTCAATTCAACTCAATCTCCATTTATGAAACTAATATAGATGAAATCAAGGATTTAGCCAATAGAGAGATTGTTCATTACCTCTAGATTTTATACAATATATTGTACCTCAATAATGAAAATTGATCCAAATTATGACCATTCAGATTTATTGAACATACTTTCCTTCTGCATGATCTATCAAATCAAGGTTTTATTGTATGGGCAGTTTAATTCTCATGTGCTTTGTGTACTTCTTCACCATTTTCAAATTTCCAGTAGATAACTAGATTACAGGAGATTTTGAAAGACAGGTCTATGGATTAGAAAAGTTCTATGAGAATGGATGAAATTAGTTCTTTCTAAGCTTTTTGCTACTATGCAGCTTTAAAAAAATCCATGATGCCAACCAAGTAATTCTAGTTCAAAGTTATATATATATATATATATATATATATATATATATATATATATGTATGTATGTAACAGTATTCCAAAGATAATTTAGAAAATAATTTTGTTTTCTTGACAGGAAATGCATTCATATTATCAAAATTATTTAAACAAGATTAATGTAAAATATATTTGCACAATATGCACATAAATATATAACTGTATATTATTTAATTTTAGTGCTTTCTGTTGTTATGGCATGCTATATCATTTTATTTCTTTGAGGTTATAAGATTTTTTTTCTTTAGAATTAAATCAATAGAACATTTCTAATGTATAGATTCAATAACAGAACATTTTCAGATCTATTTTGTATATAATATAGCTGATGTGCTACAAAACTGATAATATAGCTGATGTGCTACATTTACAAAATATAAATAATAAGAAACAAACATATTTTTCCAAGTTTGATGCATATTATTTCTTTTGGCAAAATGTTGCCATTTTTGTTTTTCTTTTTATTCTTATTTTCATCATTTCCAAACTTTTTCCTACTGTTTCTGGAATTAGAGCACAAATGTTTCAGTGCTGTAAAATTAGCATACAATTTAGCAGTTCAGGTTTAGAGAAAACCGCAGAGAAATGTGAAGCTTTTGGTTACAGTCCATCAACTCTGTATCCTGTGAATTTTACAACAGTAACTTGGACTGTGAAAATTGTATGTAAATTCATCTGGAACATCATAGACTTATATCTGTGGACGAAAAGAACCAGTTTTCATATTGGAATAGCATGCACCACGTTACATAAATGTTTCTGCATGTCACTATCTCATATTTTAAGAAAGGGAGAAAATCCAACATCTTGTGAAGATTGTGTCTACCCACAGGACACACAGTTTCCTTCTTCTCAATACTTCAGAGCTTTTGAAAATGAACATAGAGCTGCAGCGGGCATTGTCTTGCCATTCCAGTAGTGGGAAACCTAATTGGATATCATCAAAGGTTATGTTGTGGCTGACTAAGTTATCCATTTTTGGTTTTCATTTTAATTCTTTTTGGTAAACAGTCATCTTTTTAATAAAAAGCAACACTGAAAAAAATAAATATTTTAAGAACTTGTCCAGTGATGTACTAGATTTTTTTGCTGCGTCAAAAATAGTAAATATGGGTATGATTCAAAATTGCACAAATTTATTATTTTCAGATGATATACTTCTGATTTTGACATTAAGATAAGAGATGAGCTAGTATCTAGACTGGTGGGGGGCACAGCTTTCTTGGATGAATACATATAAATTAAAACTGTTTCAAAAATATTTTAATTTTCTGATTCATTTTACTATTATGTCGATACTGACATTAAAACATGTATTAGATTTTCTCAAAATAAGAATATTCAGTGAAATGCTAGTATTTTAATTTAACAAGCAAGTACTTGTTAAATATACTTAGATCATATAAAACTTTGGTCATTCAAATTGCATATAACTCATATACTCCTCTAATATTTAAAATATAAAGTTTAATGTGTAAACTTTAAAATATAATAAAATATTTGAGGATTCTAGAAAAAGCTCATACTCCAAAATATTTTAGAACAAAAACTTCACTCTTCTATCAAAAATAACATTCATAAGTATTAGCAAGAGGTACTAGGACAGTGATGGCAAACCTTTTAGAGACCGAGTTCCCAAACTGCAATCCAAAAACCACTTATTTATCACAAAGTGCCAGGGCCACATCAGCACTGTAGTGCCCTCAAGGGTGGGCATGGTCCACTGAGTGGGTGTGGCTGCAGTGGTCACATGCAGACTGGGTGGGCAAGGCCGGGGTGGGTGTGGCCACCTTGATGTTGCTTGTGGGGGCTGGGCAGGGTTGGAGATCCAGGAGGTCTCT